GCCGCCCTGGAAAACCCGGTGCGGATGGAGCACCGGGACGGACCGGAGGCGGAGGCGGCGCCGTGGAGACCTGAGAGAGAAATTTAAGCAGAACACCAACTTTCCTAGGCTGCTGCTTCTGAAAAGCGCGGGAAGATATACCCGTGCCCAGGTGGATTGTGGGAACTAAAAGAGTAATGGTACTAAATAATGCTAGTAATGGTTTAGTAATAATATTAAATAATACTGATTTATATGGGATTGACTCTGAACCAAATGCTTTATTTTTGTTTTCTGTTTGCTTTTGATACAGGGTGTCTATGTAGTCTTAGCTGTTCTGGAGCTCACTATATAGACAAGGCAGGCCTCGAACTCACAGAGATCCTCCTGCCTCTGCCTCCTGAGTGCTGGGATTAAAAGCATGCGCACCGCCACACTATTTTTTTTTTAAATTGCATGACTAGGGGATATGAAACAGAAAGAAGCTATACAAATTAGGAAGATGAAACCCAGCTGGCCATGGTGGCACACATACCTTTAATCTCTGTGAGCTTTTGTGTCTGCCTGGTCTACTTAGTGAGTTCCAGAACAGCCATGAATATGCATAGGTGACACCCTGTCTGAAATTAAAAGAAAGGGAATACAGTCGTCGTCATCCCTCCCTCCCCACCCCACCCCACCGACACACACACAGAAAGTATCTTACCTGAAGTCAAACAGCTGACTAGGAAGCTGGATTACAATTTAACTCCAAAGCCTTACCACGGGCTGTCGCACAGAAAAGGGCCCGGAAAATGAAGGCGCGTAAATCATTTTCTCCTAAAGCCAAAATCTGGGGCACAGAAAGAGACTGCTTCCCTTACCTGCTGCCTGTCTCTCCTGGAGTGTTCAATAAAAGCATGTGTAATACCACAGTGCAGTTCAGTAGTACGGGGTGTGCACAAAACCCTGGGTCCCATCCCAAATTTGCCTCTTGGCAAGGTATCTCCTCTGCAAACCAGTGTGGACGCTTTTTATGTTAATCTTCTCTCTATGGGAGGAAGTTGGCATCCCCCAAAGGACTTGTCTGTGTAAGTCTACCCCTACCAGACCAAGAACTCCTCAAAGACAAGAATTTTTTGATATATATGTATTTTAATACCATAACAGTACAGTGTATGCTTAATAAAGGCCTTCATCCTGCCTCTATTAAACATAATATACCTTACACTTCCTCATGTTACTACCTTTAATGGAATAACCAACCACTAACTTGAAATTTTCATTTGCAAAAACTTAATGTCTTCGTTAGGGTTTCTATTGCTGTGATGAAACACCATGACCAGATAGCAAGCCGGGGAGAAAAGGGTTTATTTGCCTTATGCTTCCATTATTGAAGGAAGTCAGGACAGGAACTCAGACAGAACAGGAACCTGGAGACAGGAGCTGGTGCAGAGACCATAGAGGGAGGCTGCTTACTGGCTTGCTTCCTATGGCTTTCTCAGTCTGCTTCCTTGTAGAACCCAGGACCACAAGCCCAGAGATGGGCCCTCTCCTATCAATCACTAAATTAGAAAAAAAAAATGTCCTGCCGTGAGATCTTAAGGCGGCATTTCCTCAACTGAGGTTCCCTCACTTCCGAAACTCTACTTGTGTCAAATTAACATAAAGCTAGCCAGCACATGTATGAAACCTACTTCAGAAAGCCTTTTAGGAAATCTGAATACCTTTTAAATTGAGTATTTAGAGAGAGAGAGGGAGCGAGGGAGAGGGAGGGAGAGAGAGAGAGAAGGAAAGAGAGAGAGACTGGGGATTGGAGGGGGTCTCAGGGATGGAACTCAGGCTGGCCATCTTGGCAGACTTTGCCCTGATCTGTTAAGCTGCTCCACAGGCCACAGCCTTACCTTGTTTTAAGAGTTAGTTGAGGGCCTGTCTGCGTCTCACTGGCCTGTAAAATCCTTGAAGACTGACTATTACTCCATATTACAAGTCCCCAGCCCCAATATGTATTTGCGCAGATGGTTCTCCCTTCCTCAGTCGTGATTATTTCCAGGGGAAATCCCAGTTGTGAGAACCACAAGTCTATCCTGCCCACGGCTGTTAGCATTATAATAGAATGTCCCTCAAAATACTGAGACAGCTGGGAAGACCCAAGATCTAGTTAGCTCCATTTCTGTTTTTAGACTTTTCCCACCACAGGCAAAAACCAAAGAAGACTTCAGAACTCCTGGTTCTACCCAGACTCCTCTGACTTAGTCCAACCTCAGAGAGCAAGTTATACCGGTCTGATGAGCAACAACTTAGTCAGGAGTGTCTCCTTTGACCTCTTTTCGCCATTATTCCTTCTCCTTTTAAAGGAAGAAGAGGAGAAACTATCCTGCTTTGAAGCATCAGCTGTAACCCAACTGATGTTGACTTTGGCATCTTCTGCTTCTCATTATTAAGTCTGAACTTCACACACACAAAAAGACCTCTAAAAGGAAGCAATTATCATACTCACTTCACAAATGAGGTACTCGATGTCACAGAGGTCAAGTAATTTTCCCAGGGTTATATGGTTAATAGCCAAAGTAGTTGATACATCAAAATAAAACTTAGGCATCAGAATCAAGCAGGGATTCATTAGTTATAGACTTTAGGGGGACTATGAAATTATAGGTAAAAAATGCTTTAAGTTGTCGGTACACAACTTAAGTTCAGAAACCTGAAAGTCATAGAGCATTTTGTATTGGAGAATAGCTGGAAGGACACTTGTCCTCTGATCTTCACATACACACCAAAGTATGTTAAGGAAATAAAAGGAACTGTTACTGTGCATTTGCTTTAAGTAAAAAAAAAATGAAATCTCTTATCTATATAGTACTGCTTTAGCAGTTATGTCTTTATTTGCAAAATCTAGCACACTAACTCCTAGTACCTCACAGCTAACTTATAAAAGTTTGTTGAGCTAAACTAAATATACAATCTCCGGCATAGTTATCTGTACCTTCAGTTTGTCCCCATTTCACAGATAAGAACATTGACAGGCTGGGGAAATGGCTCAGTTTGTAAAGTACAAGCATGAAAACCTAAATTTGATCCTCACCATCCATGCAAAACTGAAAGAAAGAGAAAGAGAGAGAGAGAGAGAGAGAGAGAGAGAGAGAGAGAGAGAGAGAGAGAAGCCAAACGAAGTGACATGCATCCACCTATAATCCTATCACTGGAGAAGCAAATCCAGGAGGATTCCCTGAGGCTTGATAGCCAGGCAGCCTAGGGAAATGGGTACCTCGAACTCAGTGAGGGACCTTCTCTCAGAAATAAGGTAGAGGGTCACTAAAGAAGATACCCTGCATCACCCTTGTCCTCTGCAAGCACGTGCATATTGACGTATACGCAGTTTGGGTCTTCTTGTAAGAAAAGAAAAAACATGCTCTGAGGGTATAGCTGAGTAGGCATACTTGCCCAGGCTGCACCAGGTCCTTGAGTCAATCCAAGAGAAAAAAAAAATGAGAAAAGGAAGAATGAAAAGGAGAGAAGGAAGGAGCACCTAGGACAGGAAGACTGCCTTAAATTCATTCTATAGGAAATCCTCCCAGTCCCTTTGGGAGCACCAGTGATTTATAGTGCTTTCTCCACTCATGAGCTCTGGTTTCAATTACTAGCATGTAGTAGGAGATGGAAGCAGGACTGTAGGGATAGCGCTGATGGGCCAAACTCCCAAGGCCTACAACTTCTGAGAGTGGATTTTTCTAAATGACATACCAATGATAATTTGCAAATGTGTGTCCCAGATCTCATCAAAGCACTGGGTCACATCCCAAATCTATTTTAGGAAGACAAAATATAGCTAATGGCAGATATATTACAATCAAATCCATTGTAGCAGGAATGAGCTACACAGGGCAGACAAGAAGGACTTACTTTTTAGGGCAGCTTTAAGTGTCTCTCAGGCTCTAAGCTTCAAATTCCTGGTGTATCCTTCTGATATAATAATAACCACTTTGTACGGATAGTATAAATATTAGACATCATTCATAAATGGTCTATGAAAAAGACTGGCCTGGACTCTGTGTATCTTCAGTAACTGATATTTATACAATACCATTATGTAAAGTCACTACTTACTCCCCACTTTTCAGTCAACCATCTAATTACTAAGTGGCTCTGTATTACAAGTTATTAGGTACAAGAAGACGGAGGGACTGTCTTGAACACCTGACACATCTATCCCTGTCATTAAAAGGCAGATGTTCCCTAAGAACTAAAGTTGTATCTGATGACTATAATCTGGGCACTAAGAACCAAACTTGTCCTCATCAAACCTGATGAGGATTGCTTTTACCTAACTATCACAAAAGAGAAATTTGTTCAAATTCATAATTCACAGGTCTTCTGATTCAAACCTGATTTCTTTAATGATGCGTATTGTCAGCATCCTGGAGAAATAGCCCCCAAGAAGACAGCATAAACTGGAATCTTGAGCCTAGAAAACTGAATGTGAAACGTGGATTTGTGATAAGCCTAAACTTGGGATGAGCCCGAGGAGGAACCCTTAAAACACAGACAGCTTTGCCCTTGGACATCTCCCTTTACTATTCCAACTTTCTCATTCCTGAACCTATCTTTAAAGGAAATATTTATGCCTCTGTTTCTTTGTTTCCCAAGTTTTGAAAGCAGATGTCATCTCAGTCTTCCTTGAACACTAGGTGTTTGTGATGCCAGCGTCTGTAAAGCCGAGAGATGCAGGATAACTGAAACGGTGAGGGGAGGCGGTGAGGACCTCTGGGTGTACAAAGAGCGGTTTATGTGCACCGTTTATGTGTGTGAAAGGCCTTCCACAGAAATGGTGCTACGCTGTAAAACAAAGTTATACTGCAATTGTGATGGTAATATAGAGCGCATGCTTCCAAGCCGCTGGCTTCATAAATATAGCTCAGCATTCTTCAGAATTACCCAGGGCCTAAAGAATGTGTGAGACCATACAATAATATACAATAATATACAATATATACAATAATATACAATAATAGCAATTGTGCTACGCAAATAACTGTCCTGTACCAGGGTCTGAGCAATGAAAAGGACAAACAATAAAAGATTTTTAGATGCCATAGACACCCAGGGTGTCATAAGATAATTCAAGATTGTTATCACCAAGACTTCAGTACAATGGAATGTCCTGGAAATAGTTGAATTTAGAGCCGGAAAAACCCAATCAGGTCCGTTCTTTTCTCTATACCTCTTTTTTTTAAATATATGTATAACTTTGGACAAGTCAGTGAGTGACACCAAGCCATGGTTGCCTCCTCTGCAAACTGAAGGTCATATGCCAACTTGATGATAATATTATGATGGTTAAGGTTACATGTAAAAAGCCTGTGCCTAGCATGCAGCAGACCCTGTATTCATTAGCATGAACTTTTTTGCCTACTGGAGAATATTCAAGGTTTGAGTAACCTGAACTGAAAAACAAAATCATTTTTAGGGTTTTCAAAAAGTCTATTTAACGATTTTTTTCATATTTTTTTCATCCATTAGTGATATTTGTTAAATACCCTAGAGTTAGGGAAATTATTCAGTTGTTGCTCCCAAAGTGACATTGGCTCTTAGTGAGACAGCAACTGCAGTTTTATGCTTGCCCTAGTTCCTTCCTTTCATTTCCCTCTCTTATGTAAGGTCCTGGAAACCACAAGAAATCAAAAAGAGTACCCTGAGAAAGAAAATATTTGTACTCGTGGCTGCAGGTCCTTTCATCTACAGATTTCAAAGCTTTTTTCTCCATAAGTAATTACTAGCCCTTCTCAACATGTGTGAATGCCAAGGCACCATCAAATGAAGAGGCTTGTCTTCAATCACAAGGCAAGTCAGAGGACAGGCTACAAACAGAACAAAGCTGTCTAGCTTCCCAGCCTTGGGCTCTAAAGTAGGACACATGAAAATCAACAAAACTTAAAGTGTTGAGGGCAAAAGTTTGAAGAGGACTGGAGATGTAGCCCAGTTGGCAGAGTGCTTGCCTAGTATGTTTGAAGCCCCAGGCTGTATCACAAGAAATATATGAAACTAGGCATAGTGGTATAAACCTATAATTCCAATGAAATGTAACATTTTACTCTTTTGACTTTTTTGGGGGGGGCGCTACCATCCACCTCCCAAATAAATCATACACAGAGGCTTATTCTTAGTTATGAATGCCCGGCCTTAGTTTGGCTTGTTTTCTTGCCGGCTTTACTTAAGTTATCTCATCTGCCTTTTCCCTCTGGGCTTTTATCTTTCTTATTTCTGTATATCTTACTTTCCTTCTTACTCCGAGGCTGGCTGGGTGGCTGGGTGGCTGGGTGTCTGGATGTCTGGATGTCTGGGTGTCTGGGTGTCTGGGTGTCTGGATATCTGGGTGGCTGGGTGGCTGGGTGTCTCGGTGACTGGGTGGCTGGGTGTCTGGGTGTCTGGGTGGCTGGATGTCTGGGTGGCTGGGTGGCTGGGTGTCTGGATGTCTGGGTGGCTGGCCCCTGATGTCCTCCTCTCCTTGTTCTCTTGTTACTCTGTTCCTTCCTCTGTTCTTCTATTTATACTCTCTGCCAGCCCTGCCTATCCTTGCTCCTGCCTTGTTATTGGCTGCTCAGCTCTTTATTAGACCATCAGGGGTTTTAGACAGGCACGGTAACACAGCTTCACAGGGTTGGACAAATGCAGCGTAACCAAAAGTCACACACGTTAAAATAACATTCCCCAACATACCAGCAATTGGGAGGTAGATCAGATGTTCAAGCACTCAGACTCAGTGACAAAGAGTTCAAAGCCAGCCTATGATACATACATCCCTGTCAAGAAAGAAAGAGACAGAGAGAAAGGCCAAATTTTGAGAGTTTAGTGTGTTTCTGATGTTGTACCTTTGAGTCAGTACAGTGAGAAAAGCATAAGTTTCAAAGGCAAGTCTGACTTCAAATCTCAGCTCAGTCCCTTACTGTCTATAACCTTAGTTAAATCACAAGCAAGGATATTTTTCTTGGGGTTTGGGGGGAAAACCCAGTGATTTCTGTAAAAGAGCCGAGCTCAGTGCCAGGTGCTTTTCAAATGATGACAATGTTGGTTCATGTAGCAGGGAAGAAAATGAAAACACCCTTCTTAAACATGCATAATGAAAATAGACAGCTCTTTCAGTCAAAGGTCTTTTAAAGCCATAATCACGGTTGTGTCTTAGCTTAAAACCATGACTGTATATTGATTATCTCACATTACAACACAGATAAAGCCTGCTTTGTCCAGGCTCCTGATCCTTTTCTCCCTGAAATTCTGTGCTTTCTCTCACAGCCTAAACCCAGTCTATCAGCAAGTTCTGGTAACTAAGTCTCCAGTATGTATCCAAAGTTCTAGCTTTATTTTCACAGCTCTTCCATATCTGATAGCTCCTCCCTCTTTCCCTGGCTGCCCTCTTTCTCCTGGACCAGCATCTTAACTAATGCTCCTTTCTGTGCTCATGTCCTTTGCCACACCATGATCTTCTGAAAACATCATTCTGGTCTTATACTTTCCCTATTTAAAACCTACAGGGTAGTGGGAGGGGACTGTCAAGAACATTTACGGCTCTTGCTGAGGACCCAAGTTTGGCTTCCAGCACCCACATCAGGCGGCTCACAAGCACCTCTAACTCCAGTCCCAAAGGATCTGACGCCCTGTTCTGGCCTCCACAGTGTATGTAGTACACTGACAGGTGCAGACAAAACATTCATACACATAAAATAAATAAAACAAAAGACAAAACCTTAAACAAACAAAAGACAAAACCTAGGGCTGGAGCAATGGCTCAGCGGTTAAGAATACTTGCTGCTCTTCCAGGGGACCCTGGTTAGATCCAGATAATCCCCACAGTGGACTCCAGTCTCTGGGGAAGCTGACAATATCTTCTGGCCTCCAAAGACACCGAATGCACACAGTGCACAGACATACATGCAGGCAAAAGACCCATTCACAAAAATTTAACATTTTAAAAATAACAAACAGGGACTTTTCATTGACCCTGTAATACCTGGCTTACGGTGGAGGTCAGGTCTTTAGAGGTAAAGGACGTCTACAAAGTACGGAAAAACAAGTTCATTCTGACTATGCTGAGGTGTTTGATAAAATGAAGAACTAACAGAATCAGGAGTAAGCTGGGACAGGTTTTCAAGAATTGAGTCTCTAGAGATTCTGGTGTATTAAAATTAAACCAGATAAACAAAAATCATCACTGGGAGCAAAAATGGTACCTACTGCTTTATGTTGCTGGCATTTTCAAATCTAGTTCCTTTTTAAAGGTGTATTTGTCTGCCTGTATGTTGAGCGTATGCACACATGTATGTGCTTGTGCACAGAAACTAGGATGGTGTCCTCCTCTATCGTGCTCC